CGCCTTCCTGTCTGAAGCAGTGATGCTTCCAAACCAGACTGTCGTGCAGTATGACAGGATGCTTTTGATCAACCCTCTATAGAAAGTGGTAAGGACAGGGGATCATGTGACGCAGAAAATGCAGGCACTGCTGTACCCGCTTCACCAGTGTCTCACTGTTGAGCGACCAAGCCAGCCTACTCTTAGCTGCACATCCAGAAATGTGATATTGCTAACCATCTCTGCAGGTGAATCATTAATGCAGAGAAGAGTGTGGCTGTGCCTGCCTTTTCTGAAATTGACAATGATTTCTTTAGTTTTTCCAACGTTTAAAATTAGGCTGTTTTTTTTACACCAGTTCACCAAACCCTCTACCTCAGGAGTCCCCAACCTCCGGTCCATGGACAGGCACCGGGCCGCAGTAAACCAGAAACCAATCCGCGCAAACAAGGAAAGCCCCATCTGCGGGATGCAGGCAGTACATGAAACCATGCCCCCTCTGGTCTGCAGAAAAACTTCTCTCTCCAGTCCCTGGTGCTCAAAAGGTTGGCGACCTCTGCTCTACCTATTACCTATTCCTTATCTTCTTTTGACTATAACTTCGTTGCTTGTATCTTTACAATTTATATTGTTTTATTTAGTATCCGTATGATTGATGTTGATTGCTTATTTAGTATCCTATGACCATCACTGAATGTTGTATCTTATGATGAATGTATTTTATGATTATAATCATGGTTTATCACCTGTTGCTTGTATGTACACTGAGGGCTTATGCACAGGAGACAAATTCCTTGTGTGTCCAATCAAAATTGGCCAATGAAGAATTCCAGTCCTTATCAATTGCTAGCCTGTCACTATTCAAATTAGAAAACTGAGCGAAGGGTTTCTGTCCACAGATTTTCTAAATCCCAAGAAGGCAGAGACTAAACTCACCTTGAAGGGGGAGTGACCCATCTCTGCCCAGTAGGATAAGGGAAATTTCACCTGCCAGAAGCAGCAGGGAAGCTCACCTTAAGAATTTTGAAAACATCAGCTTCCCCATCAGAAAAAGGAACAGGGCGATACTGGATACCACCCTCTTCGATGTTTTTCATTTTGATGCATGGTCTTCTATCCCATTCACTCGCAAAGTGTCTGTCATATAAAGAGCCTGGGAGCAAGTTATAGATCTGAAAAGAGAGACATTGCAATTCAGAAAAGCCGTCCATCTGATGTGGGTCCCTGATCCTGTTTGTCCAACAATAGAGGAGGGGAATCTTTCCATTTTTGTGCTTGATAAGAAGGGATACCCAACCATTTCCAATAACATTTCTCTACACTTGCAGTTTAACAAGTGGTCCTTGACTTATGACCACAATTGAGCACCAAATTTCCGCCGCTAAACCCGACAGTTGTTAAGTGAGTTTTGTCCCAGTTTTATGACCTTCCTTGCCACAGTTGTTAAGTGAATCGCTGCAGTTGCTGAGTTAGTAATGCAGTTTAAGTAAATCCCCACCCTCCAATCACCCAACCAGCATCTGGCTGTAGTTAGTCCAAAGCGCAGCAGCTGTCCCAGCTTGACCCCCT